GGGGGGGGGGGGGTAGCTGGGGTACACACACATACTGAGCAGTGCTGAGCTGTGAGGTCACCATGGCTTGAAATGCTGTTGACCTTGCTAGGTCCCCACCCAATGAACTATATGGTATATCATGAGCCTTTGCCTTTAGACTAATATAACACATAGTTTGCACTATATGTTAGTAGGTATTCCCACCTGCAAGTGCAGCACAGGCCCAGAAAAGACAGCATCTTAATTAGGCCTGGCTCTGCAGCATCTGTATAGATTGGGCGCTTTAGTGAGGCTTTTTTGGCACTTCTATCTAATAGCTGATTGAATCAGCTTTAGCTAAAAGCACCAAAAAGCCCAACTGAAGTGCCAAATCTATATAAATGCTGCGGTGCCAGGTTGAAGTAATGTGCTGCTATTTCTGGTAGAGCACTTTTATTTTTTAATGTCCGCAAGTAACAGATATGACCTAAGTGCATACGGCTATCCAGCGAAAGAATGAGAAAGCTACCAGCCTCTCCTGGCAAAACAGAATTGCCATCCAGATTCATATATAGTTTCTCATTCACAAAATGAAAGAAGTACAAATCACCCTAAGTGAAATAGGATTGTATTCTGAAGTGAGATGCCTACTTTTTTGAACTATGAAAGAGAACTTAGACACCTGAGATGTGGAATAGGATCTGGGCCTAGATATTTAGAATAATGGAGTTTCCCATGTAATATCTACTATATCCACCAAGCCATACAGCTTAAAATCACTTGAAAAATCAAAGCTCATAAAAAAACTATTAGCATACACATATCACTGGAAGTATATAAGAAAGAAAAAAAAATTACCTCTTCCTGGAAGAGATTCTGTCGATTTTTCAGTGCTCTTAGCCTGTTTTGTTTGTCTTCATGCTCTAAATGCTCATCAGGTGGGTGAAAGTAGCCAATCAGGTCCTGAAGGCTTAGGCTGACTGACTCAATAGGCAAGTCAACCGTGGAAGACTTTGCTTTCTTGCTGAGAGCATCAAGGCCCCTAAAATGAAGAGTCTTGAAAATTAGTAATTTTGTTATAAAAAATTTAATATTTTAAAAGAAAATCTGGGTTCCTGAATGAAGGTTAAAAAAAAGTGATGTCCCTTCAAGAGTCTAAATGCATTTTCAATAGCCTCTGTCATCAAAGTTAATGTCACTGTCCTTTCAGTACTTCTTCCCCTTACTATAAGCCAGAGGCACTGGAAAAAGGAGCTAGTAAAGGAGACAGATATTTGTTTTACTATACTTCTTGAAATACTCATAAAAGACCCTTTTTGGTCTTCCCCCATATTTGGGGTAATGAAAGAAAAGCAAGGGACAAAAAGCAAGGGGCAAAACAAAGGAAGACTAACTTGTAAACCTGCTCATCGCATCATCCTGCATTTCTCCCTCTAATGAGGAACTAGAACTGTAAAACATTTCTGAAATTATTAATCTCTGTAGGCACAGAAAGAATAGGAACCACTGAAGAATAAAAAGGTTTTTTGATGAGAATAGATAACTCAATATTTAAATATATGTGGAACATGTACATGCCTGACTTATAACGCCCATGCTCTTTCTCCCATAGAAAACCACTGATTTCAGCAAGAACGAGATTGTATCTTATTAGACTCATCTCTTCACTTTCTATGTGGCTCTAAAGACTTGATTCACCAATGTGCCTGAAAAAATACCCAATTTTCATCATGTGAGCAGTTCCACTGCAGCCAGAATACTCTCACAGTAAAGACCAATGCATGGCTAGGCCGCTTATTGAACAGGAATTAATTAACTATGTGTTTAGATAAAACAGTTTGACTAGATTTCCTTATTTTATTTAAATAAATAGAATGAAAACCCTGTTTGGAGAGTGCTAATTAATAGTGCCTAATCTATTTACTTCCCTGCACAGAAGAGTGGCTAAGTACAGACATTCATGGGGCTTAGGGGGAGGTTAGATAATGTTAAAAATGGTCATCTGATCTTACTTAGTTTGCCCAGGTATGGACCTTACACTGAGATTGCTAATCGCATGGATTTAAGTGCAAACTGTACAGAAATCTGGCACACATAGACCGGTCTAAAAATGTCAGAACCCTGTCTAAGATAGACCTGGATCAACGTGCACTCAGGTCAGATTGATCTAAGCTGGATCCAATGAATCAAACTTCTGTACAATTCCCAGCACAGTCCCAGGGGTGGAAAAAGCCAGCCACTGGTCTCAGTCCTAGGGCTGCACTTCTCCTACCCACCCCTTCGCACAAGACTATTTTTAGACCACCACGCCCTCATCCCTTCCCCCCCGCTTGTGGACTAGCCAGCATCCCCCCCAACCTCCAACCCCCAATCTAGTGAACCTAAAGAAGTGAAGCAAAATAGGCCTTTCGGAAGGCCAGAGAAGCCTTATGCCACTCCACAGTGTTTTACACCGCAGACTTCAATCAACCACGTATTGTACAGGCTGATACATGAAATATGGCATTAAAAACAATATTATGTCAAACGAAAGAGGGAACAAAGTTTCCCATTACTTATATAAGCCGGAAACTACACCCACAAGAAAAAGCATATTCCACCTTTGAGAAGGAACATCTCACCATCAAGTCAGTGATAGAGATGTTCCGGTATTATTTGTTAGGCTGAAGATTCACCTTAATCATGGATCATGCCCCTTTATGTTCATTGCAGTCCATGAAAAAGGACAATGCAAAACTGACGAGATGGACACTAAGGCATTTATATATATGGCTCCAGGAGGTGGGGGGGCTTTAATTAGAGTGGCTTCAAGATCCACTACAACTAAAGCACTCCGATCCCCTGCCATAGCAGGAAAGAGTACTGAGTGTCACGTGTATCCACATCCCCATGCTAAAAAATGGTGGCAGGGATGCATTAACTAAACGCATGATGAGCTTTACTTAAAGCACCCCCGCTGCCATTGTTCAGTGTGGGATACTGATACACATGATGTTGGAGTCTGCTGGAACACAGTAATTGCCATGCTCCAGCAGACTCAATTAATTACATAGGGGGCAAAAAGAAGGTTCCGGGTAATGTGGGGCCCCTGCAGGACATGCTAGGGAAATTTGGTCATCACACCAGACGACAAAGCTAACATATTTAACGATTTCTTTGCCTCCATTTCCCTGAGCAGGGACCGGAACAGCCACCCCCCCTTGGGGCCCCCTTAAACCCCAGGGGAGGTGCACCTAGGCCAAGGGTTAGTGAGGAATTAGTTAGGGAACTTCTGGAGGGGCTGGATGTATTCAAATCAGCTGGTCTGGATGATCTCCACCCTAGAGTACTGAGGGAATTAGCAGAGGTCATTGCGGGACCCCTGGCATGGCT